ATCGGAGGGACGCGGATGGAGGAGCCTGGCCAGGGCGGGATTCAGGAGGAATGAGGGGGGGTCTTCGGAGGAGGGATTTATGCTGGGGGCGTGGTCCGGAGTGAAGAGGGGCGCCGGGCCGGAAGTTGGGGCTGACACCAACATGGGATGAGTGTCCAGGGGAGTAGAAACGAACTTGGTTGGTGAGTGCCTAGTGGCGGCCACCAGAACCTGGCTCCCTACCAACTCAGACCCCTTCTTCAGGGTGGACCATGGGCCTTTGCAAGTGCCCCAAGAGGAAGGTGACAAACCTATTCTGCTTCGAACACCGGGTCAACGTCTGCGAGCACTGCCTGGTAGCCAATCACGCCAAGGTGGGGCCTTGAAAAGAGCGGCTGAGCAGGGCACTGGGAGGGCAGGTAGTATTGGCTTCTTCCAAATCCATGAAGGGCCAGGCGCTAGAATGGAAGCTCCACGAGGGCAAGGACTTCATTTGATTCATTGCTATACCCCTAGTCCTAAAGACAGAGTCTGGCACACAGTATGTGCTCAGTAAACCTTTATTGATTGAACAAACAAAAGAAGTCTTTGCGATGAGAGATAGATCATTGGGTCTTAGGTAGCTGGGTTGTGGAGCCCCTGCTCAGTTGTGACCTCTCTCTCCCACTCCAGTGCATCGTACAATCTTACCTGCAGTGGCTCCAAGATAGCGACTACAGCTCCAATTGCCGCCTGTGCAACACACCCCTGGCCTCTCGAGAGACGACCCGCCTTGTCTGTTATGGTGAGTCCTGGGGGTTTCAGGACAGGCCCAGCTTGGTGGCTGGGTTCCATGCCCTCCGCAAACAGCAGGACAGTGAGACTGCCTGGCTAAGGAGGTTGGAGCCCGAGTTCCCAGTCTTGCTGGGTTACTTACATGTTGTGTTTACTAAGGCAAGTCATTTTCCCTTCCCAGGCCTCAGTGTTTTTCCCTAAAAATTAAAGCTGCTAGCCCTCCAATCTTGAGGGTTGAGGGAAAATCAGTCAAACTTGTGGGTGTGTTTGTGTCTGTGAGCAGTAGCTGGCCAGACCAGGCATGAGCTGAAAGCATGGGGCTTTCAGGCATTCAAGATTCATTACTGAGCCCTGGTCAGTTTTGCTCAGTGATTAGAGTGTTGGCCCGAGAACTGAAGGATCTTGGGTTCAATTCCGTCTTGGGCATGTACCTTGGTTGCAGGTTTGATCCCAGGCCCGGGTTGGGGTGCATGCGGGAGCCAACCAATCAATATGTCTCTTTTTTTATTGATTTCAGAGAGGAAGGGAGAGGGAGAGATCGAAACATCATTGATTGACTGCCTCCTGCACGCCCCCTACTAGGGATCGAGCCCACAACCCCAGGCATGTGCCCTTGGCTGGAATCGAACCTAGGACCCTTCTGTCCACAGGCTGACGCTCTATCCACTGAGCCGAACCAGCTAGGGCTCAATGTGTCTCTTTCACATCAATGTTTCTCTCTCTCTCTCCCCATTTTCCCTCCCTCTCACTCTCTTAAAAATCAATGGAAAAATCCCCAGGTGAGGATTAAAAAAAAAAGATTCTTTGCTGATTCCAAGATTGAACACAGAAGAAGTGAGTTTCCCACAGTAAAGTCTGCTGAAAGAAGTCAGCAAACGTATCATGACATTGACCTGACTCTGGTCTAAGAGTCTTAGTTCCACTTTTTTTGTTGTTAAGCCTCATCCAAGGATATTTTTCTGTTCATTTTTAGAGAGTGGAGGGGAAGAGACAGAGAGAGAAACATCGATGTGAGAGAGACACATCAATTGGTCTTCGTTCCACTTTTTGAAGGAGCTAGTGCAAAAGAGTGAGCTCCACTTAAGTGTTTTTAGTGTCAGGATGTGGATATATGTGCATGAATTTTATGTGCATGGTGTCTTTACATAAGTGTTAGTGTGTTCATTAGTACTTACACGTGAGTGGGTAAACGTGTGTGAACATGACTACAAGTGTGTTGTGGAGCTGCAGGAGAATGTGTGGGTGAGGGCGCTCAAGTGTTAGCAAACAAGTGAATGTATAGATGTGTATGTGTGAGTTGCTGTGTCTGTAAGTACAGCCACCAGGATGGCATTTGTGTTCGATTATGTATATATAAGCCCATGTATATTTGTGCCCATGGGTGTGTACAAGCACACGTGTGCCTGTGTGCATGTCTAGGAAGCTTTTCTGAAACTGTTGTTGATTGGCAAATTCTTCCCACCCACACCCACGCCGCAGTGGGCTGGGGAACTTTGTAGCATCTGTTTTGACTTAGTGCGATGGCGGTAGCCAATAAGGCTGAAGGCTTAGGGAACACTGATGACATGGACCTAGAGTGAGGATGGGAAGGAGGAGGCTCTGGGCTACACGTATGTGTGTGTAGATCCCTGCAATGGGCTGGGGGCTGTTGCTGGGTGAGGAGCCTAAAGTGTCTTCCTCCTGCCTCTTCTCTGCTATTTCCTGGGCCCTAAGATCTCTTCCATTGGGCCTGCCTCAATGAACGTGCTGCCCAGCTACCCCGAAATACAGCGCCTGCTGGCTACCAGTGTCCCAGCTGCAGTGGCCCCATCTTCCCCCCAAGCAACCTGGTTGGCCCTGTGGCCTCTGTGCTGAGAGAGAAGCTGACCACGGTCAACTGGGCCCGGGCAGGACTGGGCCTTCCTCTGGTGAGAGTCCCTCTGTCTGTCTGTCCATCTGTCTTGGGCCAAATAAGGGAGTGGGGACAGCACTGAGCAGCCTGGTGAGACAGGTTCCTTCCTCCAGATCGATGAGGTGGTGAGCCCGGAGCCCGAGCCCCTCAACACTTCTGACTTCTCTGACTGGTCCAGCTTTAATGGTGAGTGGTGGTCTCCACCTACTGTTGGGGCCCTTGCCTCCCTGCTCTGCTGACAGCTGTCTTCCTGCCACAGCCAGTACCCCGGCACAAGAAGAGATAGCCAGCACCTCCACTGCCCCCGCCTTCTACAGCCAAGCCCCCCGGCCCCCCGCGCCCCCCAACCGACCTGAGCAGCACACAGTGATCCACATGGGCAGTTCCGAGCCCTTGACTCACGGTGAGCCAGGGGATTGTCCGGGCCAGGGGAGTGGAGTAGGGTGGAGGGAGCTCAGGGCCCCAGAGACCCACCAGAGGGACCCTTCCTCACTCCAAGCACAGACGTTACCTGCCCACAATTCTGAGATACAATGTCAGGCTTCGAAGGGCCAGGATCTCCTGCCCTCCCCTCGCGCCCTGCTGTGGGGCAGTTTCCCTGAGCCTGTGAATGCTCGTGGCTCTGCCCTTGCAGCCTCGGCCCCAAGGAAGGTGTATGACACACGGGATGATGACCGGGCACCAGGCCTCCACAGGGATTGCGATGATGACAAGTACCGTCGCCGGCCTGCCCTGGGCTGGCTGGCCCAGCTGCTCAGGTACGCCGGGTTACGGGGGGTAGGATGCCAGGAACGGGGAGGAAAGGAAGTGAGAGCCAGAGGCCCCGGGCACAACGATTTCATGACAAAAGGGGCTTGACCTGGGTACCCCGGTGTTGGGGCTGTGTAGAGAGGCTTCAGCTTGACAATAAAAGTCTTGGGTCTGCCCTCTCGGGCTCTCCCTTGGCTCTTCCATATGAGGTTTGGATTCAGGCTCTTTGAGGCCCCTTCCTGCTTCAACACCATCCAATCTATGCCTGTCCCCATGCCTGACACATTCCAGTTTCCAGAACAGTCATCGCCTCAGCTGGTTCAAGCTGCACAGTCACCCCTGTCGTGGGCAGGGACCGGGATGGTCATCCCCATGGCACACTTGAGGGAATGAGTGAGGCTCAGGAAAGGTGGTGCTGGGGCCAGAAGATGAGCGTCATGACCAAGGCTCTTCTCCGGGCCCCAGGGCCACCAGAGACTGGGGCCTGATCTGACTTTCCCCTCGTCCCCCCAGGAGCCGGGACGGGTCTCGTAAGCGGCCGCTGACCCTGCTCCAGCGGGCGGGGCTGCTGCTGCTGCTGGGACTGCTGGGCTTCCTGGCCCTTCTTGCCCTCATGTCTCGCCTGGGCCGGGCTGCAGCTGACAATGATCCCAACCTGGACCCACTCATGAACCCTCACATCCGTGTGGGTCCCTCCTGAGGCTGGGCCAGCCTAGGACCTGGGGCCCTGAAAAGGGGAGATGGGCCGGTCTGAGGGCCCTTTGCTGCTCCTCTTAAGTCTGAGACACTACGATTCCAGACCCAAAGCCGAGTCCACTAGAGTGGCTGTAGGCTGGGCCTGGGGTCCTTGCAGATCAAGTGTCTGTCTGGACCTGCTTCCCCTGGGTCTCTGGCCTCCCACCCCCAACCCATGAGGGAGCTGACAGGTGGAAATAAATGGCAGACTTTATTAAAATTCCCAAAGCCTCCTTTTCCTTCCCCCTTTGCAACCCAATTCCCCAGCCTTAGTGGCTCTCCTCCCGGTACTGCATGGCCAGAAACTCCAGGGACAGGCGGTTGAAGAACATGGTTCCGTTGAGCACTGAGCGGAGGAGAGAGCCCCCATCAGCCTTCCCTGCCACTTTCCAGGGTTCCAAAGGTCCCCATTCCCTCACTCACTCAGGATGGTCAGGGCAAAGCTCCGAACAAGCTTGTAATCTTCCATCTCAGCGTAGAGTGACCCCATGGCGGCCCAGCAGATGCTGATCACCTTGGAGAACTGTAGGCCCCAACCAGTGGGATAGTGACCCCCTGGCACAACTGGGGTTTCCATCAGCCCCTGGGCCTCCCCCAACCAGCCCTTGAGCCCCTGCCCTGGCCTACCATCAGGACAACTGTGTAGCGGAAGCTCATGCGGTCGTAGTGGTAGGTGTAGCAGAAGTTGTACACGTCACTGGCAAAGATGCCTAGGTGCATAAGGAAGAGCAGCAGTGCAGCCACGGTGAGCATCATGCCTTTCGGGAGGAAGAGCACAGCAATACGGTCCCGCCATCGCATCCTGGCAGCAGCACAGACTCAGGTCGGTGGAGCTTGAGTGAGCAGACGACGCCCAGGAAGAGCAGCTGACCCCTCTGCTTCTAGAGTGTGCCGTCTCAAATAGCAGTGGGATTCTAGAACCAGGAGGACATTTAGGAGACAAGATTCTAGAACACAGGCTGGTTCCAGCCAATACAGGAGTTTCATGGGTGGCCAGGGGCGCTCTGAATTGTGGAGGGGCGGTGGGCTAAAGGTATAGATCAGTAGGGTCTTGTGTTGAAGGGACAGCGTCTCCACATCATCCCACCTCTACACTTTGCATGTCTTCTCACCGAGTCCTCTCAACAGTTCCACTGAGGAGTTAGTGTGGGCACGCTACAGATGAAGAACTGCAGCTCAGGAAAGGGGGATGGGGGGTGGGAGGGGGTCCTAGGTGAGGCGAGGCCTGGGCTCACAAGCTCCAGGTTATTTGCTTCAACACCTAACAGAGAAGAACCAAGGGAAGGAGAGGGGTGGCAGATCTCCCATGGCTGTCCTGGGACCTTGCCCATGCCCTCCTTAGGTGTGGCCCTAAGAAAAACTGGTTTTCAGTCCTCTACCCAGATGTTCAAGGACCTGATCTGACCAGCTTCCCCCTCTGCCACCTTCCAGCACTCAGAGGTTTTCACACCCATTGTCTCTCATTGCAAGAGTCCCATGAGAAAGCTGGGGCTGGTGGCATAAATCCTATTTTACACACGAATCGGGGGGTACAGGGAGGGCTTGTCAGCTCAAGCTTTCACAGCTGATGAGTGAGGGAGTCAGAACTAAGACTACAATCTAATTCTACCTGCAGTTGTGGAATAAGAAGGGACAGTTAGAAGCCAAGAAGAAAACATTTCCTCCCTACATGTAAGAGGAAAAAACTCCCCTGACCAGTGTGGCTCAGTGGTTGAGCGTCAGCCTATGAACCAGGAGGTCATGGGTTCGATTCCTCACATGCCTGGGTTGTGGGCTCAGCACCTAGTGTGGGGCATGCAGGAGGCAACCAATCAATGATTCTTATCATTGATGTTTTTCTCTCCCTCTCTGAAATCAATAAAAATATTTTTTAAAAAAAACAACAAAAACTCCAAGCCCTAACTGGTTTGGCTCAGTGGATAGAGCGTCGGCCTGCGGACTGAAGGGTCCCAGTTTCAATTCCGGTCAAGGGCATGTACCTTGGTTGCGGGCACATCCCCAGTAGGGCGTGTGCAGAAGGCAGCTCATCGATGTTTCTCCCTTCCTCTCTGTAAAAAAATCAATAAATTTATTTAAAAAAATAAAACTCCAGGACTGTCAACAAAATAAGCCTGAAAAATGGCCAGAAATGGTGTAAAGGGGCATATAAGTTCCCAGCAACTAAAGTAGAAGAGGGAGGACTTAATGTTGAACTTGTCCACCCCCATTGCCACCTGCCTGTCTGCCCGGGACATTAGGTCCCAGGTCAGGTCATGGCCCAAAGTCTTCTGCCTCCAATGGGTGGGGTTAGAGCCTGACCTCTCCATCCATGCTTGCTGCCCAGTGTCACTAATCACAACAGCCCCTCAGAGCTCTCTCCTGACACATTAAAGGGGAGACCAGCCATGGTCCCACTGTTGAAACAATTGTTTGCACCTCAGTTCTCCTTTGAATACAAATAAACGTTTTTATATTAGGGCTCCCAGCTCAATGCCATTTAAAATGTACATATACATATATATGCTTTTATTTTAGAGAGAGAGGAACATCAATTGGCTGCCTCTTTCATGCTCCCTACTGGGGATCGAGCTGGCAAACTGGACATATGTGCTGTGCTGACTGGGAATTGAACCTACAGCCTCTCAGTGCATGGACGACGCCATACCATCAGAGCGTCCTCCCCTGCACCAAACGGTCACGGTTCCATTCAAACTCAGCAGGTCTCAGTTTGAACGCCTAGTCACTCGCTGTCCTCTTGAGCTCTTCATCTTGGTGAGCCGGCACCTTTACCCAAGTCAAACCTGAGAATTATCGTCAAGTCTCCACTCGACCCCTCACTCAGCACATCCTATCAGTCACTTAAGATCTAAACACGGTATATGTAAGTGCACCAGAACTCCCTGGGGACTTTTTAAAAGGAGCCAGGTCTGGGGGAAGCCCAGTCTCAAAACGCACCACCGGTCATTCTGATGCACGTCAGAGAACCAGGCTTCCAGACGCTGCTCTAGAGGCTCCGAGTGGCGTACTGTAAGTGCATTTAACTCTCGCAACTCCCCTGTAAAGAATGTAACCCAATTTTGGGAACTGGGGTGGCAATGGAACCCAGGCAGTGGCAGGAGGCCAGGCACAAGCTCTCTGGCTCTACAGAGAGCGGGTCCTGTCTTCGGGGTGGGGGGGAGAGCGGGGGAGCAGGGGGACGAGGGAGCGGGGGATCGGGGTTGGGAGCCACTACCTGCCTTCCCTCCACCTGAGAAGCTGGGGGAACCAAGGGCTCTCTCGGAACCTCTTCGCTCGAGGAGTAAAGATGCGGGGGAACTCTAATCTCGAAGGACCCAGGACGGCGGGGGAAGGTTTCACCTGAAGGACTACCTCGTTTCCACCACTTTAGGATTCCCGGAAGTGCCTCCTCCCAGGCCCCTTCCCAGCCTCACTCCGGGGGGCTGCAGCGGGGGCGATGGCGGCTGCAGCCGCGGGGCCCGGCCCGGGCTCTGGCCCTGGGGACTCCCCGGAGGGGCCCGAGGCCGAGGCTCCGGAGCGTCGCAGGAAGGCGCACGGGATGCTGAAGCTTTACTACGGCCTCTCGGAGGGGGAGGCGGCGGGGCGCCCCCCGGGGTCGGACCCCCTGGACCCGACAGATCTCAACGGGGCGCACTTCGACCCGGAAGTGTATCTGGACAAGGTAAGTTTATGTGGGGGGAACCAGGCCCCGATATAGTGCACCCCCAGAACATGCCGCCGACTCTGTTACGGAGGTGAAAGAAGCAGGGGGTCGTGAAAGGAAGCCGACCCTCGGCCAGGCAGCCGGCGCGAAGCTGGAGCCCGAGGGGGCGTGGAGGGTCTGGGTGGGTCTGAGCCCCCTGAGCTGACAGGCGGGTCGTGGGCGTGGCCCCGCTGCTCACAGCTCGGGGCTGGGCCTTGGGTGAATCTGAGGACTTCAAAGGCTGACAAACCCCAAATATGGTTCCCCAAACCTAGTGACCCCTGATCTGTGTCACTATAGACGCCATTTCGGGGTTCCTGACGGGGGTGGGGAAAGGGTTTTCTTGCACCGAAAGCCTTCCAGTTCGGGGCAAGGGTTGGGGACACGAGAACCCTCTGACCTGAGCACTACACACCCCGTTTCCTCTAGCTGCGCAGAGAGTGCCCCCTGGCCCAGCTGATGGACAGCGAGACGGACATGGTGCGGCAGATCCGGGCCCTGGACAGCGACATGCAGACCCTGGTCTATGAGAACTACAACAAGTTCATCTCGGCCACAGGTGAGTCCCCCGGGGACGCGCTCTCTCCGTCCCACCTCCCCGGTTCCTCCCCTGAGAGCTGTCAGGGGGTTTAGAAGGAGGAGATCCAAATTCCAGCTGCTCTCAGAGTGTTGTGTTTTTTTAAAAATATTTTTATTGATTTGAGAGAGGGAGAGAGAAACATCAATGATGAAAGAGCATCATTGACTGGCTGCCTCCTGCATCCCCCCCCCCCCCACTGGGGATTGAGCCCGCAACCTGAGCATGTGCCCTTGACTGGAATCGAACCCGGGACCGTCTAGTCCACAGTCCAATGCTCTGTCCACTGAGCCAAACCAGCCAGGGCCAGAGTGTTGTTCTGAGCACCCCAGGGGAGGAAGGAGAAAATGAAGTTAATGACTCTGCTGTACTTGGAATACCTGGCACTAAGGATGCCTCCGTCGGGGTTAGCTCCTTTCATTAGTGGTAGCTTTTTTCTCTGGTGCAGGTCTGTCTTGAGGATGGGCTTGCCTCTACCCTCCTTCCTTCCTTCTTTCCTTCATCCTGTCCTTAATTCCAAGAGAGGAAGGGAGAGGGATGGAGAGAGAGAAGCATTGATGGGAGAGGAACATCATCAGTTGGCTGCCTCCTGCATGGCCCCGGCTGGGGAAACCAGGAATCCAAGCGGCAACCTCTTGGTTCCTGCGTCAATTTCAGCCCCTGAGCCACACCGGCCGGGCCCTTTCGTCTTTGTAATTAAGCAAAGAAACAGAAAGTGTCTGATATTAAGGGACACAAAGATGCCCTGGCTGGCCAGCTGTGTTGGTTAGAGTGTCTCTCCAATATGCCAAGGTTGCATGGTCAATCCCTGGTCAGGGGAGGCAGTTCTTGCTGAGGACAAGGGAAGAGTGGCACAGATGAGGCAGAGGCGAGAAGGTGGAAGTGAGGTGGTCAGAGAACAGAGAGTCAAGGATGTCCCCCAGGCTCATCGAAGGGGTGTTTGAGTCCACAAGGAGGTGACTGACCAGAACCAGGAGGCATGGAAGGAGGACACAGGGACAGCAATGGGGGAGGGGGGTCGTTTGATGGCGTGGTCTCCAAAGAAGCAGGGGTCTTGCAGGGAGGAGGAGTGGGACTGTCTGGGAGCGTTAAGGGGCCAGGCCCTGAGGTGCCTGGGTGTGGGAGGAAGAACAGCGTCCTTGGTCAGGTTTCTGTCGGACAAAAGGGAAAGACCCTTCTGAGAAGACCGACCGTGTTCTGGAGGCAGGTAAAGGGTTGGGAAGTCTGAAGGAGATAAAGGTGGACAAGTATTTATTGTCTCCTCAGTGCCAGGCAGTGCACTGGGCACGGAGGATGCCCCTGGGAAAGAGCAGACAGGTCTCTGCAGGTGCCCTGTGCCCTCCTTTGGCTCTGGGCGTCTCCCGGGGGCAGGAACTGTGAGCTGCCTCCCCACTGCCCCAGGGCTAGGGGTACACAAGGGGTGCTCGGAAAACACCTGCTGCGTTGGCATAATACCCCTCCCCCACTTACTGTGACCCAGCACCATGGCAGCCGCATCACGCCAAACGTCAGTGCAGCCCTCACTGCCTCAGCGCGGTAGTGGGCTCAGGGCCTTTGGGAAGAGGGCGTGTGTGAGAGCACCTGTGCTGTGTCCTCAGGCTGAGTGCTGCGCCTGTCACTGCACACCCCCCCCCCATCTCCTTTTCCCTCTCCTGCGCCTTTGCCCTGGCAGACACCATTCGCAAGATGAAGAATGATTTCCGGAAGATGGAGGATGAGATGGACCGGCTGGCCACCAACATGGCTGTGATCACAGACTTCAGCGCGCGCATCAGTGCCACACTGCAGGACCGCCACGAGCGCATCACCAAGCTGGCAGGTGGGCGCTGCCCCAGAGAAGGTGCTAAAGTGGGCCGCCCTCCGGGCTTTGAGGCTGACACCACCTGCCCTCGCCCCCCAGGGGTCCACGCTCTGCTGCGGAAGCTGCAGTTCCTCTTCGAGCTGCCCTCGCGCCTCACCAAGTGCGTGGAGCTGGGCGCCTATGGGCAGGCGGTTCGCTATCAGGGCCGTGCGCGAGCCGTGCTGCAGCAGTACCAGCACCTGCCCTCGTTCCGTGCCATCCAGGACGACTGCCAGGTCATCACAGCTCGCCTGGCCCAGCAGCTACGGCAGCGCTTCAGGTGTGGCCTCTGGGCCCCCATCTTACCCCTGCCCTGCACTTTCCCTTCTCCCCCAGCCCCACCCCAAATTCTGTCTTCTTGCTCTACCCTGCCATCTTCCTCCCGGTAGGGAGGGCGGCTCCGGTGCCCCTGAGCAGGCGGAATGCGTGGAGCTGCTGCTGGCCCTGGGCGAGCCCGCAGAGGAGCTGTGTGAGGAGTTCCTGGCACATGCCCGAGGGCGGCTGGAGGAAGAGCTGAGAAGCCTGGAGGCAGAGCTGGGGCCCTCCCCTCCTGCCCCTGATGTGTTAGAATTTACCGACCACGGAGGCAGCGGCTTTGTGGGTGGCCTCTGCCAGGTGGCCACAGCCTACCAGGAGCTGTTTGCGGCCCAGGGCCCAGCAGGTGCGGAGAAGCTGGCAGCCTTTGCCCAGGAGCTGGGCGGCTGCTACTTTGCGCTGGTGGAGAGGCGGCTGGCGCAGGAGCAAGGTGGCAGTGACAACTCGCTGCTGGTGCGGGCACTAGACCGCTTCCACCGGCGCCTGCGAGCACCTGGCGCTCTGCTTGCTGCTGCTGGGCTGGCCGACGCTGCCACGGAGATCGTGGAGCGAGTAGCCCGGGAGCGCCTGGGCCACCACTTGCAGGGCCTGCGGGCGGCCTTCCTGAGCTGCCTAACCGATGTGCGGCAGGCGCTGGCTGCACCTCGCTTGGCTGGGAAGGAAGGCCCTGGCCTGGCCGAGTTGCTGGCCAATGTGGCCAGCTCCATCCTGAGCCACATCAAGGCCTCGCTGGCTGCTGTACACCTCTTCACCGCCAAGGAGGTGTCTTTCTCCAACAAGCCCTACTTCCGGGTATGGCCTGCCCCTGGGCACTTTCTTTTTCTGGGCATTCTTTTATTCATTCTGCAGATGGGAGCCACCAGGGCACACAGTGCTTGCCCCCAGGCACTCTAGATGTGGTTTCAGGCTGTCATGAGGAATACTGGCAGAGCCTGGAGGGATGGGGAAGGGCCAGGGCATTTAGATTTAGGGTTCCAGCAGAGGATCACTAGCAGCCCCTGCCTGGAAGAGGGGACCTGCTGTATACCCAGCCCTTCCTCCTCACAGGGCGAGTTCTGCAGCCAGGGCGTCCGTGAGGGCCTCATCGTGGGTTTCATCCGGTCCATGTGCCAGACGGCTCAGAGCTTCTGTGACAGCCCTGGGGAGAAAGGGGGTGCCACGCCACCCGCCCTGCTCCTGCTCCTCTCCCGCCTCTGCCTGGACTATGAGACGGCCACCATCTCCTACATTCTCACCCTCACTGACGAACAGTTTCTGGTGCAGGTGAACTTCCAGCTCATAGCAGGGTAGGGGGTGGTGATGCTGGGAAAGCAGGAGGCTAGGCAGTGCCCTCATGGTCAGGCCAGCTGCCTGTGCGCAACCCAACCTCCCCCATGCCCAGCCTGTGCCCAGCTCCTGGTTGGCAGTGGCCCCTGAGCTTCCCCCAGCACCCACTACCTTTTTGTCCTCTGCATCCCTGGCCCAGGACCAGTCTCCAGTGACACCTGTGAGCACACTGTGTGCAGAGGCCAGGGAGACGGCACGGCGGCTGCTGACCCACTATGTGAAGGTGCAGGGCCTGGTCATATCGCAGATGTTGCGCAAGAGTGTGGAGACGCGGGACTGGCTCAGTACCCTGGAGCCCCGGAACGTGCGCGCTGTCATGAAGCGGGTGGTGGAGGACACGACGGCTATTGATGTGCAGGTGCTGGTCAGGGGAGCCTGAAGGTGCAGGGCAAGGGGGTGTTGGGAAATACCTTCTGAGGGTCAAGACTTCAGGGGCCAGGCAGTGCCTGCATCCGTGGCCTCATTCCTCCTCAGCCCCAGATTGTGGCATCATCACCCCCATTCCTTCTATGAGGAAGCTGAGGCCGAGTCACCCAGAAAATAAGGGCCTCGGTGTCTTTATGTCTCACCTTTACCCCACTCCACTACTTCTGTAAATAGAGACTGGGTGACAGTGAGGTACCAAGCCGGGATTACCTGTGATTCTGGTAACAAGTGTGACTTGTAGTAAATGAGTGTAGCTTAGGGCATCCTTAGCCCTTGCCCAGGGCACCTGGTGAGCTGGAGGTCCCCTGTACTCTGGCCTCTTTGCAGTGTCTCCTTCCACCACCAGGTGGGGCTCCTGTACGAAGAAGGTGTTCGCAAGGCCCAGAGCAGTGACTCCAGCAAGAGGACCTTCTCCGTGTACAGCAGCTCCCGGCAGCAGGGCCGCTATGCACCCAGCTATACACCCAGGTCTGCTGGTCAGACTAGCCCCTGGGGGAATGGACAAAGGTTAACGGGTGCAGGGTGGGCTCTGAATGCTTGTCTCCCCTCCCCCCCCATCCAGTGCCCCGATGGACACCAACCTTTTGAGCAACATCCAGAAGCTGTTCTCTGAGCGCATTGATGTGTTCAGCCCTGTTGAGTTCAACAAGGTTTGAAGTCACCAGTGAACCCCCCTTTCAGGGTCCCCATACTGGCCAGGGAGCTCTAGCATTCTGTCCCCCCAGTCTTTGTCCGAGGGGTGTTTCCGGGAGTGAGTATCCAGAGCCCCACCATCACCATCCCGTGGCCCTTTGCCCCGACCTTGGTGTGCTCCCAGCCTGGGTGTGGGTGCTGCTCAGTATGTCTCTTTGGCTCTTGTGCTATTTCCCACAGCAGTCCTGGGTCCTCCCCAGGGTTCCTGTTCACACCATGGTCTCAGTCCCGCCCAGCCCACATTCAGGGACCCCGTGTTCTTCTGACTCAGTAAACCCCCATTCCCCCCGTCATTGCTGACCCCCATCTCTGCCTGTGGTTGCTGGGCAGTCCCTGTCGGTTTCCCTCCAGATGATGAGGCTAATCTTGTATCCCTCCCTCCCTCCCTGGGCTTTCCATGCCATCACAGCTACTGGCATCTTACTGTGTCCCTGGCCCTAACGTGGGTGCCCTTCCCCAACACCTGCTGTCCTGAGCTGCATCCCCGTGTCCCTTCCTGCAGGTGTCAGTGCTGACCGGCATCATCAAGATCAGCCTGAAGACGCTGCTGGAGTGTGTGCGGCTGCGCACCTTTGGGCGCTTCGGGCTGCAGCAGGTGCAGGTGGACTGCCACTTTCTGCAGCTCTACCTGTGGCGCTTCGTGGCCGACGAGGAGCTTGTGCACCTGCTGCTGGACGAGGTGGTGGCCTCAGCTGCCCTGCGATGCCCGGACCCAGTGCCCATGGAACCCAGTGTGGTAGAGGTCATCTGCGAGCGCGGCTAGGCCAGGCCATTGTCATGCACAGGCTGGCCAGCTGCCCCAACCCGCGCATCCCTGGACCTCCAGTCCCCGCGGCCCTTCCCCTCTCACCACAAGACCCGAAAAATAAAGATGTGCCGTCTCCTCCCTCTCGCTTGCAGGGGCGGGACTTGAGGGGGTGGAGTTGTGAGGCTGAGACTCTGCCTCTGAGATGCTTGCGTCGGACTCGCCCCCAAGAGCCGATTGGCTGGTCTGCTGGGCTCAGGATGGGCCGGGGGCGGGCCCGTTTAAAGACCTCAGGATGGACATGCGCTGTGTCCGAGCGCCGCCCGGGACAGGTGCTGGCCACAGGGGACGGATTCCTCGCGTCACCGAGCCCATCTGGGGGTTGGGGTGGAGGGTGTTTCCTTGACGGATTTTTGTAAACCCCCACCTCCCGGCGGAGCGGAGACCATGGCCCCTCAGGGCTCCCGGGCCCCGCTGGAATTCGGGGGACCCTTGGGTAATGGGGCAAAGAAGGGGGGATCTGGGGCCAGAGGCTCCTCAAAGGGAAACTGGAGGGGTGAGCTGCGAGCGGGGATGGGGCAGAATCGGGGGGCTTTGAGGGGTGTCCGGGGGCAGGGGGTTGTGAGGGAGTGTCTGGAGGGGGCGGGGTCTGTGGAGTGGACAGAGTCCGGGGAGTCCCGAGGCGGGACCAGGAGGAAGTTAGGGAAGGGTGCTGAGGCTGGGAACGGGGTGCGGAGAGTTGGGGAGCGGGCCCCTGACGCGATCGGCCCCTTCCCCAGGCGCTGCGGCGCTGATGCTGCTGCTCCCCGCCACCATGTTCCATCTGCTCCTGGT